ACGAACAAATGACTAAACAATTAAGACAGCAAAAGCTTCAAATACGAGGAATTTACGTCACTCAAATGAACGAAAAACGCCAACACAAATAAATCAAAAAAAAAAAAAGATAAGATAACAAAAAAGGATCTTTAAGAACGACACGGCTGAACAGTGACGCATTCTGCTGCAAAAAAAGCAATCCAGCAGTTTTACATTTTTATTGTTTATTTAACAACATTCATTGAGGCAGTGCATATGTTTGTAAGAACAACCACGCGATGACTCAAAATGGAATCAAAAAAACCCCGATGGAACTGTGGTAATCGCGCGGAATGCTCGGAGGAAAGAGGAAAATTCGGAATTCACGTAATTTTAAACAAAATTCGGCGTACAACTTAAAGCGATGACACGACTGCGACCGCAACAGCGGCCAAATAAATGTGCAGTTTTACTACGAAGCACATCGATCAGTTTAAACACAGTTCACTGTGCCACGTCCAAAACAACGAAATATTTAGAAAAGGTATTCGCTAAGCTCCGTTAGTTGTTTTCTAACGACATGATACATTTATCCCTCAAACAGGACATTTATAAATGCTATGCATTTGAATTAAAACCTAGGTAGCAATGCAAGAGGGTTGCTGGTGCGATTATGCATTTTTGAACTAAACCTGAAGCAATCAGTCACTGTATGAACAACTGTTTTTTTATTCTAACTGGCGTACTCATTACTGCAAAATACCGCAAATACTGCATGAAGAAAAATGAATAATTTCCGGTGATCCGTTATTCATTTAAAAATGTTCTAGCTGTTCCAGTCCTTGAGTTGGTAACTTTCCCGCCAAAGCTTTCATATATTCACATGTGATACTGTACCCTGAAAAAAAAAATGTACCCTGAAGTGGCGTCTGGCCACGGAACACAGCAGCAAAATTTCAGCACCAAGGTTTACCTGGTTGCCTAGTTGAAAGAGCCGGACAGACGCGCACACACACCAAGGATCGCCACAATGTGCATTTATGCATTTCCATAAATATGCAAAAACGTGTAAAAAGCGAACACAACACAACACCTTTCTTCTTTTTCATAAAACATATGCATCACCGACCACTGTGACACTTCGGGGCTTCATAGCCAGTTCTTTT